CAAATATCACCTAGTCCAACTGCCAAATTTTAAATTGTTTCACTTTGGAAAAAGAAAAAAAAAAAAAAAAGGGAAAAAAAAAAAAAAAAAGCATACCTTGTGTTATGTAATAGAAAATAATAGAGAAATCCAGGGATAATTAGGCAAACAGCTTACACTATTTGTGAGTTTTATCTTTCATTGTTCATGCAAAAGGAATTGATGGCAGTGGGAATTTTGTTCTTGGAGATACTCAGTTCCTGCCAGTTACCAACAGTAAAAATCCCATCTGTCTTCTGCACAGAAGTCAGAGTTAGAAACAGATTTGATTTCTCGTACTATGATAAGTGAAAATACTGAGAAATTTTAAGAGCAAATTTAGACAATGAATCACAATCAGCACATAATTCTTGTATTTTCAAATCTAAAGATCAAAGTTGAAATTTGAAGTTCTGTTAGCAATGGAACTTAACACTGGTTAATCACCAGAACAGGTTTCTTTAGGAGGAGTTTTCCTAAATCCAGATCTTAAAGTTAGAAAGCTTTTTTAAAGAGAAGTCTATAAAAGGCAGCTTTCAGCATTTTTTATTACTGCATAAGCAGGCAGTAATAGCAAATGCAATGATGATAAGAATGTATATCCCTGAGGTAGCTACCCTACTGCTTACCCACTGTCATGTCAGAATTTTCCTTGTTGCAGCTTGTGATCATTGTTTCTTGCCCTTTTTTTATGCACCTCCAAGTAAAGTCTGTCTCACCCTTAACCTACCCACTGGAGAATTACAGAAAACAATTAGAACCCTCTTTAGACTGCTGTTTTCAAAGGCAAGCAAACCAAGCTTCTCAGCATCTCTTCATTCCTTTTATGCTCCAACCCCTGGATGCAATCACTGTTAATATCTCTCTTGTATTGGAGAGCTAAAAACTGGACACAGTGCTACAGATGTGGATTCAGAAGGGCTGAGTAGAGAGGACCAAGCACTTTTCTGGACCTGTTTGCTGCAGCTTGCTACTGCAGCACAAGATGTGGTGAACTTTTGTCACTGCAAAGGCACCCTGTGAACTCTTGTTCAATTTCTTGTCCACCATGACCCCCAAGTCTTCTACAAATTTCCTCCTCAGTCAGTCAGTCAGTCAGTTACTAGCTTGGAAACATTCCCTCTTTAGTCCAGGACTTTGCATTTGTCTTTGTTAAAGCTCTTAAGATATTTGTCAGCCTGCTTGTCAAGGTCCCTTTGAATGACAGCCCTACCCATCTGTGAGTTGACCACTTCAGATAAAAATTTGTTGATATTATTGTATAAAATTCAATTTTAATAATTACCTAAAATTAATTTTAAAAATGCAGTGGAGCTTAGCACTGTTTTGTAAAGATGTGTCTATCTCCAGGACTGAGATTAAAGATACCTCATCCATCAGCTAAAGCTATCTCTTCTAGAGAATTCACATTTTTTTGTTGGTCCCTTATTGTTCAAATTAAAGAATAAAAAGCAGTAACTTTATTGTTCTCTGGTCTGTTAGTTCAGGGAAAAAAAAAAAATAGGGCCAAATAAAGTCTTTCCACTCTTTGGGTTTCCACAGTCAAATATTTGCCAAGTGTACAGCCACAGTTTCTTGGCGTGTGTTTATAGCACCCGAGACTCCCAGGTGGTCTCTCTGTCCAATTACCCACCAGACTGGGTTTTGTTTCTGCAACAAGCTGGAGGTGTCTTCTGTCTGGCATAGCCACAGGCAAAATGCACTAATATGAAATATTCTATTACAATAGTATGTTAAGCAATACATGTTACCCAACTTCCTTTTTGGATCGCCAAGTAATTTATGGAATAGGAAACTTATTAAAACTTGGTTTTAGTTTTGTCAAGACCCTCAAAGTTTTATCTTCATCAGACACTGCATCTGTGATCTTCATTGGAATATTCTATTTATAATCTTAAATAATCCCATAAAACAACAGAACAAGAATAAAATTGTTCTCAGTTTCCACCATGATGTTACTTTCATATTCAGAAATATTCTGCAGCTTCCTTTTCTTTCTGTACTGCCCACAGCAGGGTGTTCGAAATTTGTTTCCAAACAGTATGTGGTGTTAGGAGAGAATTGCAGAAAATTCAGCCAGTTTAGTTTTAGGAGGAGGAAATATATCATAAGGATGAAGGAGAAGACATAACTCCTTAATCATGTGCGTATGGACCATTACAGAGACAGGAACTGCTGATGCTGGCACCATCACTGATAATGTCTACCATCTGCATAATGGCAGGACCCAAAAAAGAAAATCTGAGAAGCTCTGACCTGCAGAACAAGAATATCTTAAATCCTTTTAAAGCTATAGCATGGTCATGGCAGCTGACATAAAGGTTGATCAGAGAACAAGATCAAGAGTGTAAATAAAGGACACATTACTGTTACATGGGTTCCGGTATATGGAACAAAGACACTTACTTCTCAGGCAAATTGGATAATAAACCCTAAACCAGGTCTATTTTATAGCAGACTAATTCAAAGAAATAATAGTTTTTCACAAAGAACTAGTGATGAACTGTTTGCATTGTGCAGATTATAGCTGGTCTGCCAAGAGATCAGCAATATTATAATTCCCAATTTTAATGCATTGTATTAGCAGAATTTCAGGAACCTGTAGGGGGTCTATAACCATGAGACTCCACCTTAAAACTGTGCTGAAGGACTCACAGCTGCCAGTAATTAGATTTGTTTGAATGATCTCTTTGGAGGTGGCTGTTGGCTCATCACAACAAACCACTGCAGGCCCAAGATTCCTCTGCATGTTGGTGTTACAAGCCCTGGGGCAAGGAATTGAAGTAGGGGGCTGTCTTCTCAATAAAAGTTCAGCAATGGAGTATGACTTTTATTTTTCTTAGACTGACTTAGAGTAGGGGAAGTTCACCTTCTTATTTCCTTGTTTTCACTCCTAGATGACCCTGAAAATTCAGAAAATATTATTTTTATTTGCATAAATTGGACTAAGATTAATGAAAGGCTCTCTTCCTTTATTCATGACTGAACTGTGATACCAAGATTCTTCTCTTTTATTCTTGGTATAGCCAAGTAGTTCCTCATGGAGTGTTCAAAAAACTTCATCATTGTTCACAATGTATTTTTCCCAGTAAAATAAGATGGTATATTGTAAACAAGGAGGCAAAGATTGTTCCACGTGTTTAGTCTTTAAACTTAATAGATTGTGTCAGAAATTCCACTATGAGGTAGCTTAGCCAATATGATAGGAAATGGGCTTACATATCCAGATGAGTATTAAGGGTCTTTTCCAGCCAAAATGAGCCTATGATTCTATGATTAATACAGCAGTATAAATGAACGCTGCTTGCTCCAGTAAAAATCATGAAGTACTTCTTTGTTCACAAAATTTGCAAGCACTTTTTATTAGTAACTTTAGTAAGATGAGTAGTATCAGAAGAAAATAATAAAATTCTCATGATTTTTAACATATTTACTGATATTAATTTTCTTATTGGACCTGTAATATGACAAGCAGGTTAACCAGTTAACCAGGCAAAGAATTAAATCCTGTTCTAAGTGGGTTCATTTCTTGTTTAATGTAAAAGAATTCAAAGGGCTAAAAGCCAAACTGTATGCATAGTAATGGAAGAGGAAGGTCTCGAACAGTGAGAGAAGAAATCTAGGAGATGGAGAGCTTCAGAACATTCTTCAAAGTAATGAAAAAACACTTCTAAAAGACTCTAGTGCCAATACTCTGTTTAAATTAAAAATAAATAAATAAATAAATAAAAAGGCACTCATGGGTACATTCCTGACTTGCAAAATCAAACAAAAGAGAACTTTCACAACTGTGCTGTTACTGCTTATCCCATAAAGGGAAGGAGAGTTTTACCCTCTGGGCATCACTAATAATGAGGCTGTGCAGATCCTGAGCTAAAAATTGCAACCACAGCCTAAGTCTATTTGTCACAGCTTCTTAAGTGAGATAGAGGTCAGACTCCAGGCTCTACACCATTTGCCTTTATTAGACGTTCTGCAGAAATCAGGTCATCAGACATTTCTGGATTGGTTTCTGCATACCTTGGTGGCTGCAGACAGCCAATTACATCTATCCAGGTATTTATGCTATAAAAGGACCATGATGGCCCAGTTCCTAGTCTGAGCACTCTCCAAGCAGCTTCTTCCTTTTTTTAATGTCTAGGTAAGGAGGATTTTTTCCAGGAGCATTATAAAAGCCTGTATTTTACATCATCTTAATCCTTGAAAGAGAAGTAGTTTCTGAAGTAAATTTTCTTGAAAAACATCTTATGGTTTTCCTGGGGCAGGAGGAGGGGTATAAAATGATACAGATAAAAGACAGCAAACTGACTTCTTAGGCCTAGATCTCCCACTTTTGTGTATACTTAATTTCACATCCAATAACTTTCCCATTTGTTTAGGATTCTTCAAGCAGAATATGCAATGCATATGTGCCTGTAAAACTGGGGTTCATACACTATTATACATACCCAAACATTTAGTATTCTTACAGGGCAAATACTGAAGTTGAGACCTGGAGATTTTAGTATTAAAAAAAAAACAAAACAAAACAAACAAAAAAAAAAACATTATAATTTATAGCGTGGGAGCCATCCATTTCTAGGCTCAAGAAGAAACACAAAGTAATGGTTTTCTGGCTATCAGAAAACTTAATTGACACACAGGCTTTATGCTTTGCCAGGTCACCTCTTCAACAATATTGGCTAATGCAAAACATTTGAAATTTCTCATTCCCTAAATTACTCCAATCTAAACATATCAGTGATTAACTTTATATCTGCATTCCAAATGGTAAACTCCTCCAACTGTTTAGTTAAGCTTTCTCTTTGCAAAGGAACCCTCGTTCAGTTTTATTGCAATATGACGTTATTTTTTACTTTAAAACTGAATACTATTTAAGTATTAAAAATTAGCCTGCTGTTTAGAACAAGAGGATTAAAAGCTTTGGAAACTTCCAGTTCCTTTATCTGAGTCCAGTAAACAACACAGACCATAACACTTACAAAAATTCAAATCATTTGATCAGCTTGAAAAAGATGTCTGTTGTCTGAAAAAAAAAAAAAAATCATTGAAATATATGCATTTAATAAAACTTTCATAATGAGAACAATTAAATTTCTGCTATTATGTCAGAGCTCTGAGCAGACAACCATGCCTTCTAGCCCTAATGGGCATTTCATCCTTCTCTGAACAATAGTTATTAATCCTGAATCAATTTTTAGGTACTCCAAGGCAAGTGGTTTCATTTCTGGCTAAACAGAGCTATAGAAATAAATCAGGAAGGTACGATCAACGCACGAAAAAAAGAAAAACTGACCTCTTGGCGGTTAACAGTGAAAAGGGTTGTTCATTCCTGGTTGTTCATGTGTCTCCTTGAGTGTTGAAAAGGAACAATGATTTCTAGTGAACAGCATAGTTGATTGGTCTGAGGGCTTCCCACTTAACAGCATCAGGTCACAGAATCACGGAACTGTTTCTGGAAGGAACATTTACAGGTCTCAACATCCCACTCAGAGAAGAACCACTTCTAGTACTAGATCAGGTCAGCCCCAGTTTTGTCTAGCCATGTCTTGAAAATCTCCAAGAATAAGACCTCATCAGGTTTCTGGGTGACCTATTTCTTCTACTTCTCTGTCCTCCTGGTAACAAAGTTTTTCCTAATGCCCAAGTTCTGAAATGGCACTTTAAGCTATTACCTCCTATAATGACATCTTCTACTACTGCAAAGAGTTAACTTCCTTCATTTTTCCAATTGCCATTCGATCATTTTCAGGCTGCTGCCTAGTTTACTCTTTGCCACACTGCATAAGCTGGCTTCTTCGGCTTTTTCAGCCATTCTGTACAGGCCATCTGTTCAAAACCCCTGACCATTGAAGTAAGCCTCCATTGGCCTCTCCCAGTTTCCAACATCCACTTGAATGGGGACTTAGAATGAACTGCAGTATTCCAGATGTCATCTCACCAGTGCCATGCACAGTGGTATAATAAATTCCTCTAATCTGCAAGTCACACTTTCCTAATGTATACAGTATCATATGACATTCTTTTCCTTTTTGATAATGGCACTGCACTTTTGTCTCATATTCAAGCAGTTTTTCAGAAAAATAAATACATAAATAAATGGTATCCATGTGGAAAAGAAGCTGAACATGAGTCAGCAGTGTGCACACACAGAGAAGAGAGTCAACCAGAACCAGGTTTTGGTCTATACTAACAAGAGTGTCACCAATAGTCAAGGGAAGTGACTCTTCCCTCTTTCCAGTTCTTGGGAGAACTCATATTCTATATCCAGTTCTGGGCTCACTCCAGCACAAGGAAGATATTGACCTCTGGGCTCACTGCAATATGAGTAAGAGAGCTGAATGAAGCACAGGATGTTCAAGGAGAGACTGAGGGAGCTGGGTTCGTTCAATACTAAAAATAAAAATAAATATAATAATAAATATAATAATAATAATAATAATAATATAATAATAATAATAATAATAATAATAATAATAATAATAATAATAATAATAATTAATAATAATAATAAAGTTTGTGAGAAGAAAAAAAAAGTTGTGAGAGGTATTATTGTTATCTACAACAATATACTGAGAGGGTGTGAAGAGGACAAAACCATTCTTCTTAGAGGTACAGAAAGGAAAATAAGCAACAGACAGGCACAAGCTGGAACATGGGAAATTCCTACTCAATTTAATATAAATATAATATAAAATGAGGGAAGATAAGCATTATATTGAGTTGAGGTTATGGAATCTCCGTGTGTCCTTGGAGGTATTCAGAACACAACTGGACTAGGCTCTGAGTAACCTGATCCCTGAAAGTGTTCAAGGCAAGGTTGGATGGGGCTTTGAGCAACCTGGTCTAGTGGGAGGTGTCCCTGTCCATGGCAGAGAGTTTGGAATTAGATACTCTTTAAGGTCTCTTCCAACCCAAGCCATTCTATGAATCTATGATTTTATGATCTAATGAGATTTGCTTTGAGCTGAATGTTCAATGAGATGATCTCCAGAGGTTAAATCCTCTGGAGATCTTTCCAACCTACATGAGCCTGTAACTCTATTTGTCCTCCACCACATTCCCAAGATGTCCTGCAGCAAAGTTGTTACCAGTCTCCCAGATGCAGATAAGTACTCTTTTTTCTTGAAATTCATGCTCGCTCAATCCTCAAGTTTCTCAAGGTTAATCTGCATAAAAACTGTGTCCTTTGATGTGTCAGCAGCTCCTCACTGACCTAGTCACACCTGCAAATTTGCTGGACAGTGCTTTCTGTCTCATTATACAGGTCACTGACAAAACACACAGAAGATCAGCACCATTATCAACCCTAAAGTACTTTGCTTTTTACCAGCTGCCAGCTAGGCATGGATCCATTGATTACTGCACTTTGAGTCTGGCTGTCCAGACAATTTTCAACTCATCTGACAGTCTGATCATCCCACCCATTGTCAACTTCCAGATGAGAGCTCTGGGGTTGGAAACCTTACTAAAGAAACATCCACTTCCCCCTCATCATTCCCAATAGCCAGTCAATTCACCACCAAAGGCAATCAGGCCAACTGTTTCTGATTATCTCCTTGTCCTGCTTGAGTTTGGAAATGGGTTCCAAAAGAAGATCATGCACCATGGTCTTCACAGGGACAGAGGTAAGCCAGCAGCTGACAGTGTTCCAGGTTTTTTTTGTGTGTGTGTGTTTCTTGAATAGGACTATAATGTTCGTTTTTTCCATTCAGCACAGTTTTTCACAGACAATACACAGGAGCCTTGAAATCACAGCAGCCAGCAAGACAGCTACAGTGGCCAATTTTTACAGCACCTTTAGGTCAGTCCCAGGGATATGAACATGTCCAGCTTAAGTAGTGTCTAACTTGTTCATCTAGTGCTGGCTACTTCCCAAACTGTTCTGCTGCTTACAGAGGTCAAGTGGAATGTTCTGCTTGTGATGAGCAAGGTAAAAAAGACCCTGAGTACTTCGTCCTGTTCCACATAATCCACCCATCACATATATTAGCAGACTCACATCTTCCCTAACATTCCTTTACAACTAGTTGTTCTTGCTCAATTTAATGAAGTTATTTTTAACTCATCATCTGGGTTTTGACTTTCCTGATTTTTACCTGAGTGATACTTCATACTCTTCCTTAGTTGCCTTTCTTTGTTTCCAATTCATATGTTCACAGTTAGTATTTTATTTCAACAAGAAGCTCCCTTTTAGTCAAGTTGGCCTTGTGCTAAAACTTCCAGTTTTTACACATACGGGGGTGGCTTGTTGCTGCTCCGTCACTTTCATAGAGTGGGGACTTCAAAGAGTGAGACTTTCAGCTCTATTGGGCAATATTGGTTTAGCACCTCCTTGAATAACCAAGTTTGTTCTCAAAAGTCCGGATCTCTAGCTCTGCAGTTTTCCACCCAGCCTTCCTCCAGATCCTGAACTCCACTGTACTCCTGTACTCCCTGCAGCCTAGACTGACAAGTTTTTCCACATTACTGCAAACCTTCATCAGTCTTTCTCAGCCATGAGCAGCAGATCCCACAAAGCAACACCCCTGGCCAGCCTCTCTAGTTTTTGTGGGTCACCCACACAGCCTAAAAGCTCCTTGGGTGCTTTGCATGAAGACACATCACCCTCACCACTGTTCTTTGGACTATGGAGATCACCCATAACAATAGGTGTCTACACATGGGAGATTTTCAGTAGTTGTCTGGAAAAGGCCTCATCCCTTGCCTTCTATTGATCAGGAGGTCTCTAGCAGCTCCCAAGGGTGTCCCTAGCTGTACTTTCCCATCTGATGTTGATGCAAATGCTCCCAACAGGCATGTCTCCAGTTTTACCCTATAGAGCTCAAGGAGATCCTTAAAATAAAGAACAACTCCCTCTCCTTATCTTTCCTGCATATCACTTCTCAGTAGCCTGTTTGCTCCATGGATTCCCTTCCCAGCATATTTCCTCTTCCATGTGAGCAGCCTGTAATGGAGACTGGTCATATTCCCATTTTTGCACCCATTGGTCCCTTGTTCAACTCAAGTCACCTTGTCACTACTACTCATCAGCAGGGCTGCCTATTGGACAATTCTGGTGAGATGTATATTAAGCAAATACCTTGGTGCCTTTGTCTGAGTCTCTGGATGTTGTATTTCATTGCTTGCCACATTCTAGCATATTAGCGGTATTCACTCTAGTGGATTCATCAGGTAACATAGACTAAGGAGGACACTAAAAAGATTCTCAGCACATCAGTTCTCAAAAGAGAGTTCACACAGGAAACAGAACTGGAAGAACCAATTTGCACAAAATATACAAATTTCTATAAAGGCATATAAAAGTAGTAATAAGTGCCTAACTTATGTATAATTATTCTTAGGAGCAAATGGCATTTTTGAAGTGTTCTAAAACATCTGACAGTTGCATATAGTTGCTATTGATCTAAACTGCAGAGGTACATTAAGGAATTCAGCTTGTAAACTTAAGGGTATATTCACCCTTGAATCTATAACATATTTTCAGGACTTGTGTTCTTTGTGCTACAGTTTTAAGATTCATAAAAGCAAGAGCTGAAGTGCCAGGACAAGATCTTAAGTCCTTGTTCTATTAAATTCTACTACTTTAGGCTGCACTGACATTCCCTTTACTTATGCATTTTGTTTGTGTTAGGTGCTGTGGCTCTTTCAGCTGCCAGATTCTTTGCATTTGCATTACACATTATTTATAACAATACTAAGCTTTTGTATGAGAATTTATGTATTGAGTATATTACAGACTGTATCTTGTTTTATTTGTAGCAACTAATGTAATGCTGCTTTTAGTTTGGTTTATAATATTTACCTTTTCCTTTTCTGATTACATTATACAAGTGCTGAGAAAACAAGCTCTATAGTAAAATATATATATATATATAGATAGATATAGATATAGATATAGATATAGATATAGATATAGATATAGATTAGATATAGATATAGATATAGATATAGATATAGATATAGATATAGATATAGATATAGATATATAAAATGCACTGGTTTCCTAAATGTAATGGAAAACATTTGAACTTCATTTTGTTCCAGACACATTAAGTTTTTATGACTTCATTCTTAAAAGATTGTTCTTTGCTCCATCATTCATATTTATTTCTGCTGTGGCACCTTATCCATTTACCAATAAATTTATCATAAGATGGGTTTTGAAATCCCTGTATTTTGCAATATTTTTAATTCTTTTCTGAATTCACCTAGAAATTCACACAAATTTCCCTGTCAAATGTAAAATGTTCTGTGGAAGTCAACCTGAAGATACATACTCAAGCGCAAGCAGAATGTACTATTTAACCCTTTTTTTGTGCTTAAGAAGACTTCAGTACCAGCAAGGCTGTATCTGAATGTATCTGATGATGTGTATCATCAGAATGTATCCATTCTCCTTTTATTTCATTCAATTTTCCAAAACAGTATTATGACTTCAACCAACAAAATGCT